CTCCAGGGAGGGCTGAGAGATGGGCATCTGTACGTGTGGGCAGGAAATGAAACTGCTGAGTGCAGAGGCCACAGTTCTTTAAGGGTGTGGTGGAACCCAGGCGCTTGGAGTGAGTAGTGGCTTCCACCAGCACCTTGTGATTTCTGCACTGAGGAGTCTTGTGGAAGCCTTTAGGTGGCTCCCTCTGAGACTGGGCCACAGAGCTACAGTCCTGAGTGGCTGAAATAACCGGGAAAGAAGTGGAGCCAGAGGGAGAAGAAATAGGCCCAAAGGGCTTGGTGACCAGGATGAGCTCAGAGGACAGTGGCTCCCTGCCTCTGACGTCCTGCCCAGCGCCTGGCCTGCCCAGGTGTCTCTTCTCCCAGGTGTCTTCTCTGTGTGCCGCCCCACCCCCGCTCTGTGAGCTTGACCCCTGGTTCCTCCCCTGCCCCCTCCAGTTCGCTCCCAGGACCCCGGACAGCGGCGGGTGCTGGACAGGGCAGCCCGGCAGCGCCGCATCAACAGGCAGCTCGAAGCTTTAGAGAATGACAACTTCCAGGACGACCCCCACGCGGGACTCCCCCAGCTCGGCAAGAGGCTGCCGCAGTTTGATGATGATGCCGACACTGGTGAGGCTGGTGGGGAGAGGAAGGAAGGACCACCGAACCGGGAGATAAGGCTGAAAGGAAGCGGGAAAGGTCAAGGCCAGGATTGTGGGAAGAGCATTATGCTCTGGGCTCTGCCTCCTTTCCTGTCATGTACCTAGAATAGATGGAGGTGACCAGCTTTGAGGTCCTTCCTGGCTCCATCCAGAAGCTGTGGTTTTGGGGATTATGAAAACAGCTTGGCTGGGATTTGAGAAGTTTGGGGGTGGGGGGCGGGTAAAGGAGAAAGGATGGTGGAGAGAGGCAGACTTAGAACCCAGGACGAGTGTGTGTCAGAGCAATGGGACAGAAGAGTGATGTCATTTGGGACATGTTAAACAGCTGATTGCTCTTGACCACTAGGAAAGAAAAAGAAGAAAACTCGAGGTGATCATTTTAAACTTCGCTTCCGAAAAAACTTTCAGGCCCTGTTGGAGGAGCAGGTGAGAGAAGAGCTGCCCTGGGGGGAGGACCCCATGGGGAACGAACGGGCCTGGGGCTCTGTGGACCCCACGGATATACAGGTGGGTGGAGTACTCATGGAGCCTGCCCCCCTTGCCTCTGCAGAACCTGAGTGTGGCCGAGGGCCCCAACTACCTGACAGCCTGTGCAGGACCCCCATCCCGCCCCCAGCGCCCCTTCTGTGCTGTTTGTGGCTTCCCCTCCCCATACACCTGCGTCAGCTGTGGTGCCCGGTACTGCACGGTGCGCTGTCTGGGAACCCACCAGGAGACCAGGTGAGCTTGGAGCCTTGTTGGGTTCCCCCCACCCCTCCCAGCCCTCCGCCCAGCAGACCTCTTCATGTCCTGAGCTGCTGCTTCTCTCTGCAGGTGTCTGAAGTGGACTGTCTAAGCCTGGATCCCCGGCCAGGAAGGCCCTTCACCCCGGGCTTCACCCCTTGCTCAGCTGGGGCATTGGGAAAAGGAAGGAGCCTCCCCTGGACCAAGGGAGGAGTCACCATTCATCAGCAGAACTTGCATCTCACTGACTGGGGGGATCAGCCTCGTTCCCTGTGGTGGGGAGGCGGCCTCGGCCCTCAGTTGCTTTAGTAGTAAAAGGTGTGTGAGGAGAGGGGCCTGCCGGTTTGCTCGGTGGTACTTGGGGGCAAGGGTGATGAGTCACCTGGCTCACCCCTTCACGGCTCTTGGCTTCCTCCCTGTCTTCCTCCACTGCCTGTCCCTGTCATCTGCCCCGTGTCCTACACCTGCAGAGATTTTGTCCCGTCCTGCCACTGCCATGTCTCTCCCTTTCTTGGCTGCTGCTTCATGTCCTTTTTTTAGGAGTGAGGGTAGTTAACTCATTTTGGTTTTGGTTTTAGTTCCTGTGAGGAGGATCTTTGAATGCAGGTAGAGTCAGTGCTGTGTAACAGGGAAGTAGAGAGAGAATGGGGAAGGAAGGGTGTAGAATGGTCCTGTAGGAGAAGCTGGCCTCTCTTTGAGCACCTGTTGTCTGGAACTTACTGGAGTGGGCCCTTGTCCTTGGTGCTGCCAGTCTAAGGTGGATTGCCCCTGGAGCTGTCAAGGGCTGCTGTGTGTGAGTGTTGTTGTGTGGGCCATTGAATCAGAACCGACCCACAGCTGACCCTTCAGTGGGTTTTCAGAGGCAATAAGCCACACAGGAGTTGTCCATCTTTCTCCAGAGGAGCAACTGGTGGATTCGAACCACGTACCTTTGCGTTGACAGCACAGTTCATTTCCACTAAGTCACCAGAGCTCCCTCTGAAATTATTGGCATAGTAAATACGAATGTCCAGGAACCACAGGGAATTCTGGTAGAGACTCCTGTGTAGAGCTTCTTACTCTCAGAACATTGTAAGCTGTAAGCATCTTGTAGTTTCTGTATTAAGCCTATTAAAAAAACAGGCTTAGTAAGTATTTGTTGGAACAAATGACCTTAATAAAGTGTTAATGAAACTCAGACAAGTTAGTCACAGGCATGTTCTTCCCTCTTTTGAGAACATTCTGGGGCTGGTGCAGATGTCTCTGAGGACAGTGTTTCCTAAGGACCCGTTTTCTCTTTGAAGACTCGGGGTCGGGCAAGTGGTACTGTGAGAGCTCTATGTGCAGCTGGGGTGAGGACAGGATCAAGAGATGTGGTTTCTAGAAGTGACTGTAAACTCTGTCTCTCCTTCCATGAAAAGGTAGAGTTCTTGTTCCCTTCCCTGGAACCTGAACAGCTTCAAGTAGAGGAGAAAGCAGAAGTCATGCTGTTGTTGTTATTGTTTTAGTTGTCGTCATTATTATTATTGTGTGCGGTCGAGTCGGAACTGACCCATAGCTGAACCTGCGGCGGATTCTCAGAGACACTTAATTGCACGAGAGGAGGTTGCCCATCCTTCTCCCGCCAAGCAAGCAGCTGGTGGAGTAGAAGTCCTGCCATGTCCTTTAAGGCTAGATCATCCAGCTGCTCGGACACTTGTTCTTGGTTCCCTGAGCCAGCCTGCGAGAAATCCAGCTATCCTGACGCTGCCACGCTGTGAAGAAGCCACATACGTAAACTGTTAGTGCTGACAACCCCCACTCAGGCGAGCCTTGAGCTCCCAGGACTGGCCCTAGTCATGTTAGCAAAGATGCCTCCAGAAGATTCCAGACCTCAGTTGTTGAGCAGCCCTCAGCTACACGCATTTTCTAATGGAATCCTCTGATGTCACAGATCAGAGACCGGCCATCTGTGGTGTGTCCTGTCTGAATTCCCGACCCACAGAATCTGTTGAATGTAATAAAGAGTCGTGTCGCTGAGTCTCGGGACAGCCGCGTATGCAGAGTGGACAGCGGTAGTGGTAACTGGCTTCAGTCCTCCTTCACGGTTGGGGGTGCAGGTCTCCCTGGGAGCTTCGGAGGCCTTGCAGAATTGTCAGACACTGGGTAAGGCGGGTAGGAGCACTGGTGGCACAGCCTAGTGAGTTGAGCCACGTGGCTCTGGTGGTTCGAGTCCACCAGTGACTCCTTGAGAGAAAGATGCAGCTGCCTCCTGTTGGAATTTGCAGGCCTGAAACGATGGAGGTGCTAGAAGGGTAGCGAGCGAGTGTCTGTCTCCTGTTTGGAGAGAAATCTGCTCGCGTTCTGACAGAGGATGGTACACGTACTCGTGGTACATTGTAAGACTGCTGTGTGTGGTCGAGTTGGTCCACAGCGGACCCTCCAGTGGGTTCTTAGAGGCAGCAAACCACATGGGAGGAGACTGCCCATCTTTCTCTTGCAAAGCACGTAGTGGATTCAAACTGCGTGCCTTTGGGCTTGCAGTGCAGCTTCTTACCACTAGGCTACCAGAACTCCCAGTTGCTAGACTAGACATCACATTGAGATGGCAGAGTCTACCATCCCTTCCATGTTGACTCTGGAGTTGGCCATGTGACTGGCTTGGGCTAATGGGACAAACTTCACAAAGGAAGAGTGCAGACGGGTAGGAGATGCACACCTCCCCAGACTGAAATGGCCATGGAACCCCTTACGCGGGAGCAGCTCCAAACACTCTGCTGCTCCTGGGTGGAGCACAGTAGGGGCCCTGGGTGAGTCTTGGAGGGATCCTAGCTTCCTTGCTGGGGATAAGGTGCCTGGTATGTGTGGACAGAAAGATGAGTTAGGACCCAGCAGTTGTGTTGTTGTGTGTTGTCAAGTCAGAACTGGCCCATAGCTGGCCCACCAGTTGGTTTTCAGAGGCTGTTAATCACATGGGAGGAGACTGCCCATCCTTGGTGGGTCTTCTTACCACTAGGCCATCAGAACTTCCCACGACCAAGCAATAGTCAGGTCTCTTGGACTCTTTTCTGAGACTGCAACTGCCAAAGGAGGAATGATTAGCTGGTGGAGGAGTTTGGAAGGGCGGGATGGACAGCCCCGTGAGGGTATTCTGTAACGGCCTCAAGGCAAGAACAGATGAGAGCCTGGCCCAGGACCAGCCCTGGAAAAGGTTGAACGTAGATGTAAAACACTCACCTAGAGAAGGATTATAGGATTTGGCAACTAACTGGGCAGAGCAGATGATGGAGGAGAGGTGAAGGGAAAGCCAGAGACGATGGACCCCTTCCTCCCCAACACTCGGCCAACTGTCTTAGAGCATCATCAGCCCTTGAGCTGTTCACAATATAAATTTATTTATGCATATATTTCTATAGAAAACAGACAACTGGGGACCTCCAGAGCCCAGATTCAGTTAGAGGTTCCACCTCCGGAGTTCACAGAAGTAGACTGCCAGCCTGGGGGGGGGACACTGGAGGGGTTCTCAGACAAGTCAGAACTGGGGATGGCATCTGGGTCACACTGGAGTGTGGCTGATGCCCGAAGTTACTTCCAGGAGAAGCAGCTGGAACCTGAGGTCCCAGGATCGCACCTTCCACTTGGGCCAGTGGGAAAGGAAATGGGGTCCGAAAAACTAGACCTACACATAAGCGTTCTTCCCATATTGGCCAAAGTTGCTGTCATTGTCTTTGGAGGCGTCCGAGGCCGTTGAGCGCAGATGGACAGTGAGGCCCGAGGATTTCTTGACAGTCTGAGAAGTCTTGGAGGGCAGCCAGATTCTGCTGGAGGGCAGACAGGGTCAGCGGTGAGGCTGTGGCTCTGCACCCCTACCCCGACACCCCCATCCACAGCGCCACCCTCAACCCTGCCACTTGCAGTTTGTTCGTCTCTGACCTGGGGGCCAGGTCATCTTCAGGAGGGCAGCAGCAGCTGGAGAAGAGACACACGCCCCCCAGGATGCTGAGCAGGGCGGCGCTCCAGCCCAGGTAGAGGGCCGGGCCCAGCTCATACCTGAGGACGAAGGGAGTGGAGAGGTGAGAAGCCAGGAGAGGCGGTAGCCCTGGGGACAGGGCCGGGTCCCACCCACTGGCCAAGGGTTGAGTTCCACACTCACTTGGTTCCAGGATACAAGGGGTCAAAGAAGTCCCGGGTGATGTTGAAGGCATACCAGGAGATGGCCACCATCCCACAGAAACCTGGGGAAGGCAGGGCAACCATACTAGCACCCCACTGTGGCCACAGAGGCAGAAGGGAACTTGGGGAAAGGGCCAGCCCAGAGAAGAGGATGTGGGCGTCTAAAAAGCAGCAATTTCTTTGAATTCCTTTTAACTCTTAGAAACCTTCCTGTGAACTTCTCAATCTAGTACTCAAGACCCCAACTCCAGTCCCCCTTTGTCTCACCTCTCATCACTCCAAACCTCATCCTGCCTGCTCTAGTGTCTTCATCGTAGTTTCTTCATTTGGAATCTGCCCCCTCCAAGCCCTTCCTGTCCCAGCTTGCTTTTCCTCTGGGTTCTCGTGAGCCTGCACAGCCTGTGACATAACCTCTGCCTCGCAGCTGTGAGCGGCAGCAGCCAGACTGCTTGGGTACAGCCTTGCCTCACTGCTCTCACACAAACATGCTGTGACCCAGTCAGGACCCTTCCCTTCCCGGGGTTTGCGAGGTGGCTTCTGTAGAGCCACTGGTCTAACTAGAGACCTCACTAAGGACCACATGACCAGAGTGCCCCTGCCACTTTCTGGGGTCCTTTATTTAGACATCTGACCTTCCTGAGGCTTGTTCCCCAACTGGAAAATAGGACTCGACCTCCCTAACCTCCACAAGCTTACGGTGAGAGCTGGACGGAAACATTCTGCAAACCGAACAGTGTCTAGTCAGCACTGTGCGCACTTGTGCCTGGCACCCACCCTGTTCTCCCATCTAGATGTTAGGTTCTAGGGAGCAAAGACTGCCTCTCTTCCTTGAAGCCTGTCCCACACCTGGCTCACAGAGGGAGCTGATGGCCCCACATGTAGGCAGCACAGGGAATGGGTACCTGTGGTGAGAATGGGCTGTGGGGGAAGCGCTGAGCATGAGGGGGGGTGTCAACACAAAAAGGAGGGTGAGGTATTTGCAACATGCCCAGAAATGAGGAGCTGGAGATGAAGACAGCCAGGGGTGGCCCCAACCCCCACTGCATTCCCAGGACCTTCCCCCAGTTACCGGTCAGTATGTGCAGGGCCCCCGCGGTGGCCGCCAGCTTGGCTTTCCTGGAGGTCGGCATGTTCCCAAGGTTTGTGCAGCGCATGCCCACCATGCCCAAGAGGAAGCCCAGGGAGCCCAGGAGGATGGCGGTGATCATGATGGCCCGGCAGGCTTGGATGTACCCTGGGGAGGGGGTACAGCTGTCAGCTCCCTCATCTAGCCCGGGGGATCCCGCCTCCTCTCCAGCCTGTGAAGGTTCCATTAGCCTCTTGGGCTCAGAGGAATCTCGCCTCCCTCCTTCCCGAGTCTGCCTGAAACCTCACCTGCCTCTTCCGCAGCCGGGCTTGATGCACGCTGCTTAGAGCTTTATTAAACAGCTTCTCAACCTTGGCCCTACTGACATTTGGGGCTGGGAAGGAGATTTTTTGAGAGGCTATCCTGTTCAATGCTGCATGCTCACCAGCAAACCCCAGCCTCTACCCACTAGATGCCAGGAGCAACCATCTCTCCCAGCTGTGACAAGTGTTTCCAGACATTGTCCAGTATCCCCTGAGGGACAGGTGCTGTCGCCGTTGGGAACCACTGCTCTGAAAGCACATGCTACCATCTGTTGTATATTCTGGAAACTGCCCAAGTGCCCACCGTCCACCAGACTGTCCTCATCCCAGTTCATGTCCAGCTCAATGCTGGGTCACTGGACTGAGATGCTTCCCGGAGTAACCAGGAGGGGGCAGAGGTGGCCTGTGACAGAAGGTAGAGGGCATTTCTATCCAGAGGGTGGGTGGGATGTGCTCAGAACCAGCCAATCCAAGTCCTTTTATTGGCACTAATTCTTTCAGTGCCTCAGTTTCCCCTTTCTTAAAGATCTTGGGATGTGCCGGCTCCCTTTAGCACTCCTTCCCTATTGTCTGTCCTTGACAGCTGCCAAGCACTCTCAAGGACCTTGCACCCCTTTCTCGGGTGGGGCAGTGTCATCATTGGCTCAAGGGGAAAGACTGGGTCCCTGCCAAGAGGATGTGTAATGGCCAGGAGTTGGGGAGTAGAGAGGAGGGACAAAGTTCTCTGGGAGCACCTTCCCACTGCCAGCCACTCCTAGAACCCCACCATCCCCTCCTACTCTCTTTCCTTCTTCGCTCATCCATCCATCCAGCGCCCTCCACCAGGGGTGGAGAGACCGACCGTGGCAGCCAAAGGAGAAGAGCACTGAAGGCCTGCAAAAGCATGGACTTGGGGGCTGGAACTGAGACTGCCCAGTGGGGTGGTGATTTTAAATAAGAGTGAGGCATCCACAGCCGAGGTCAGGCAGTAGACTCCCAGCGATGCCCCCGCCCCCACCTCTGTGACTCCAGAGGAGCCACTTCATTTTGCAAAGGTTTCCCACCTTTCCTCCAGCAGCAAGGTTGCTGTAACCGTGAACGGAAATAACCTGTGTGGGAGCCTGGAGCCCAGATCACTTTCATAATGGCCCCTACACGCCTTACACGTGTCCCGAGTCCTCCTTTGGGCCAGGAGTTCCAAGTAGCGCCTCTCTCAGGCGGATGGGATCACAGCAAAGTCCCCCCCCCCCCGCCGCCCCAGCTCCATAAGTCTGTCCCAAGCTTACTCTGGGATCCAGGGGTCGGGGGAGGTGGAATTGGGTGGCTGACGTGGTTGAACTGGCCACTTCTAACATCCCTTTGGGCCATTTAGCCCTGACCTTCTGGACTAGATCATACAGTGAAAGCTTTAGGGAGCATTACTATAGCAACAGGAAGATGACAGTAGCTGCCTTCATCAATTGTGGCATTAAAGGTGGTACAAGAGACCTACACAGATGCTTTAACTCTCCAGGAGAATTTGTGAAGCCCTGCTCCCCCTTGTTTCTAGCCTTCAGTTCCTCTTCCTCACCAACCCAGCACCTGAAGCATCATTCTACAGTATGGCACCTGGAAGAGTTAGACAGCTCCGGGGGGACCCACTGATAGGGGCGAGGAGTGGGCACACTTGCCTGGGAAAGTGCTGGGGAGGAGAAAGTTAGCCATATGGTACAACTGGGAAGCAGGAGGATGGTACAGCAACCACAAAGAACTGTGCTGGACCAAGAGCTACACACATTAGCCCCCCAAGAACCCCAGACACAGGATACACACACGCTGTCTCCCTCCACTCGATCTCAGACCCCCAAGACTCCATCCATCGCACCAGAATCAAGTCTTAAAGGGCCCCTCAGAATTCAGTGTAAGACTGTGAGACTGAGGGTCCTGGCCAGTGGAAACCTGGTGTAGCCATTAAGGCCTTGAGTGGATCAACGCCTACAATCCATGACAGGGCCTCCTCCTCACCCTCTAGCCCCAGTTACACCACCCTAAAGCGAAATGCTGGTCAAGTTTTGAGTGCATACGTATTCTAACATCATGCCAACATTCTGCATGTTTTAGCTCCCATAACTCACAACCACTGAAGAACTTGTACTGTATTATTCTAACTTTGTGGTGGTTGTTATGTGCTGCCGAGTCACCTGTGATTCATAGTGACCTGATGTACAACAGCTCTGAACCTGCCCTGTCTTGAGCCAGTCTCACCGACTCTGATACACCCCCACTGCCCCAGTCACTGTATCAATCCACCTCATCCGGGGTCTTCCTCTCCTGCGCTGTCCCTCCACCCTCCCGGCATGATGTTCTCCTCCCAGCGATCAGTCCCTCCTGACCACACGCCCAAAGTATGTGAGACAGAGCTTCAAAATCCTAGCCTCCAAGGAGAAACATGGACTCACTCTTTCTATGAAAGACCTTTTTGCTTTCTTGGCAGTCCAGTTCTAACTTTACGGATGGCCAAAATCAAGCTTGCTTTAAGTCCTGTCCACGACAGAGGGAGCAAATGGCAGAAAGGAATTAAACCTGGCCGTCCGACTCCAGTGCTCAGCGGTAACCTCTAAGATACAGTGCCACTCACTGGTGGCTGTTAGGATAAGAGCCGGGGGTCATGTGTGACAAAGTCTCCACTCCTCCCCAGCCCCAGCCCCCGAGGCAGTATCCTGGCCTGTATCCAACTGGCCCCATGGTCACTCAAGACCTGACAACTGGCAGTGCCCACCCTCCCCTGGGATCTCCCTTCAACCTCCCCTGGGATCTCCCTTCAACCTCCCCATATCCCTTTGCTCCCCGAAGTTCTCAACCCAGTACCAGAGAGGGCCAGCATAGACGGGAACTCCCAGCAGTTGTAGACTCCCAGGGAGTCGGTAGCACAGCTATGCCAGAGGTTCTCGAAGATGGTGTTGGTGGTGATGACGTTCCCGTGCACCGTAGACACCCGCCAGGAGCTGTGTCGAAGGGTCAAGCCCTGCATCAGTAGCCCCACAGCTGCCATTAAGAAGCCGAAGGTCTCTACAGCCACCGACATGTTGGGAGGCAGGGCCCCCAAGGGGTGCCTGGGGCTGGGGCCCCCCAGAAGGGGACGAGCTGAATCCTAGGGGAAATTGAGGGGGCTAGGGAAGGAGGGAGGGGCAGGAAAGGTCCGGCTGCAGCCGTAGCTTTGGCCGTGTCCTGTCCCCTCCTCTCTCGGTCTCTCCTTCCCAATAGATGAGAAGACTAAGCCACGGCTCGAACAGCAGCTGGCGACCAGGAGATGGAGGGAATAAACTAAACGGGCCAAAAGTCCACTCCCTCCCCCAGCTTCTCGGCTACCACAGGCTCCCCGCCCCAAAAGGGTGTGTGTGGGGGGGTGAGAACTTACCGGGGAGTGACTAACGGATACAGCCAAGGAGGGGCTCCCATGGGAGGCATTTGGAGCCAAGGAGAAGCTTGTTTGGCTCAACTTTCGTCTGGGTCCAGGGAAAAGAGCAAGAGGGACAAGGTGACAGGTGACTGAGACACAAGAGGCAAGAGACAAGTCCCCTCATCCCTGCTCTCACCGCTTCCCAAACTACAGCCTGCGGTGGGGAGCAAAGCCACCTCCTCTGGATGGGACGAACAATCCAGGAAGCTCAGGGGTCTGGGGGTGAGGGGTCTGCATCTCCCAGGCTCAACAAGGGACAAGGCGCAGAAAAGAAGAACCTCTCCCGTGTCCAGCAAGCAGGGTTCAGACTAGACTCCCTCACGGACAGGTGACTCGGGCGTCCCTTCACAGCCCTTTTAGCTTGTTTCTGCTTCTGTAAACCACAGCTTTTACTTATAGGTTGTCACAAGAAGGACCACAGATCAAAGCTCCCAGCACCTATCTATGACCTGATCCTTTGTGGCCCGGGACAAGGTGCTGCAGGCCCAGGGAGGCCACCAGGGGACTGCTTCTGAGCTCAGATTCTCCCTCCCACACTGGTTGATCTTTGATTCTCCGCAGAGCTTGATTGTGCTGCGAAGGGACTGGACGGGATAAATCACAGGCCTGGAACGTGACTTGCTGGGTACTCTTCCTAGGGAGCTCAGTTATCAGGAACTGTCACCGGCTCTATTAATTATGATGGATAGGAACCTCTCGGTCCCCGCCCCCAGCCAGGGTTTAGCACCTGTCCTGATATGACTGCCCCAAGGAACAGGGTGAGACCAGAGCTGGGTAGCTGGCAAGTGGGGCCAGAGCTCAGTTTCTAAAGGAAGGGCTGACTACACGGATGTCACTGAGCTGGAAGAGTCCTGGGTGAGTATGTGTCTCCACTCTCCTCTCCCTGGGAGGCGGCTCTGCTCCCTCAGGTGCCTCCCTCACTCCCCATCCTCCATCCAGGTTGGTTTGACGTGTGGAACGAAAGGTATGCAGTGAAGCAAAACAGACCCACGCTGAGCCTGGCACAGGGGCTGTAGAGCAAAGCAGGCTGGGTGGGGACTGGGACCTGGCCTTCCATCCCAGAGGTCAGAATTGGGTCCCTAGCCTCTCCTGGGGCTCCTGCCCACCCCATGGTGGCAGCTTCCTTCCTCTGCAGTGCCCACCCCGCCCACTTCCCCCAAGGACAGTGTAAGAGGAGGGGGAAGAGGCAAGGACAAAGGCTGGAGGAAACCGAGTGGGGAGGCTTCTGATGTGGAAAACTCCACGCGCTGAGAGGCCAGAGGATACAGGATGCATAAATCTCACCCTGGCCCGACTCCAGGCACTGCTCCCTCCCAGGATTCTGGGGCTGTGCAAAGACCACAGCCCTGTGGTGCTGACCACTACTCAAGAACGTGGCTTGGGGTTAGGGGGAGGGAGGAAGGGTGTGGGGTCTGAGTAGCTTGTTGGACAAAGGAGAAGCCAGTATCAGACTTGGAGAGTATGAACAGGAAAGCAGAGCTAAAGGTCCAAGTGTGATAGCCTTCACACCCTATGCTCAATATGACAGACGCAGTGGTTCCTAAAGCAAGGCTCAATTTTATTTACACTTATCCCAAAACGCATGATTTGGGGCCAAATGACAGGTCTTGGAGAAAGGAATCTGAGGACCACAGAATAAAGTGATGGGGTACAGGAGAACAGGGAATGAGGGGACCCAATCATGTGTCCCTTCACGTCAAGTCCCAAACATGGCAGGCTTTTCAAATCCTGTGAGCCCAGGTCAGGCCGTATCCTCTGGGCAGAAGAACTGTGCAGCAGCGTTCAGGATTTGGACTTGGATACAGCAAGTCCGATGAGGCCAGCTAGTCCTGCCACACCCAAGGCCATGCCTCCAACAATGGCCATGCCCACCAGTCCATCTAGGAGAATGCAAAAGGGAGATGGTGTCAGGAGGTTGTCTCTGCCCCTTTAGCACCTTTGGGATCATCTTCTGTCTAGGAGAAGATGGCCGTCCCTATCCTGGATCATGGGGTGAGAGACAGGTTTATGGTGAAGGCTGGAGATTTTTAAGAAGGAATTTTTTTGGTGTGTGGTCATTTAAATAGAGACCAGGAGGACCTAGGCATGGGGTTGGGAAAAGAGTTTAGAGCTGGGGGTAAGGAACAATGGGGTCAGGGAGAAGACAGAGGGAGAGAGGGAGGGAGGAAGGCTTCACCTTTCTTCATGGCCTTGTCAATGAGATGTTCCAGCTCCTTGGCCTGGTTGTTCTGGGGTTCTGTCTGCAGCAGCCCTCGCACATACCTTAGGGCCTTTTCATATTCCTGCCCTCAGGGAAAACACACACACACACACACACACACACACACACAGTGTCAGTACTCTGACATGCTCCCTCCCCATCTGAGGGCTTCTCCCTCCAACTCCAGCCCCTCCTTCATGCCACCTCCGCCCAATGGGGTAGAGTCCACAAACAACCTCAACTGTGTAGGGGTGATAAGCTAGGGGAGATAACATCCCAAGGCCTGGGCTGCACCCCAGCCTTGACGTCATTAATTCTCAACACCCTGATCTTCTCTCACCTCCCTCATAGTCTTGATACCACCTTGCACCTAAGAATACTTGAAACTACTCTTCCTTCCCGCCCTTCTTCAGAATCCTGCATGCTGAGAGGGCCTCTTCCAGGAGGGAACAGGAGCGTATCCTGGCCTCTCGCACAGCTTGGAGTGGGGAGGAGGAGGCTTTTCCTGCCTTACCCTAAGGTCTATCCATTAGTTCAGTCATGGCTGACAGAGCAGAACTGGGGTTGACCAGAGCTTGTAAAACATGGGCAAACCAGGAGGTTAACTGGAACAGGAAAAATCAGGAGCCGAAGCCCTGGAATGGGAGAGCTGTAACGAAGCCCTGCAAGACACGGCTGCAGGAGACCGGATTACAGCCAGGGTTGTGGAGAGACTCGCAAAGCAGCAAGGCCGGCCGCCATCTTGAGAGGGGCACCATTGTTTCCAACTCTGCCAGTCAAGAGACTAGGATGCTCTGCAACGTGGACACTGTTCTAGTTTTCTGGGGAGGAGAGTGATTTCTAGCACGGCCTCAACCCATTAATTTTTCCTCATTCATTCTGGGACATCAGTATGTTACACATTCAGGTTCGTTCCAGTTTTGCTTTGTCAGTCACGCCTGAAGTGGCCGGACGCTTTGCTTACCTTGAGCCGATAGTTCCCCACAGCCAGGTAGAAGACATAGTCCCGCTGTTCCTCTTTGCTCCCTTTGGGCAGCAGCTCTGAGGCAGAGGAAGAGGGAAATGATGAAAACGGTTTCTGTCTTTTCCTAGTTCTTCCTGGGAAAAATACTGAGCTCTCTGCTTCCCAGGGGAGCATGACCTGTGGCTGCCCTAACACTGTACTGTGAGAAACATCCTTGGGATCAAGAGAACACTGAGTTTACCGGAGTGAGCTTAAAGGAAAGCAGGCACTCAAGAGACCTTGTATTCTACTGTGCATTTTAACAACTGTCTGTGGTCCAGAGTGGTGTTAAAAATTGGTTTGTACTTTACCTCTATCATCACCTTTTAATATATATAAAATTTATTTTTATTATTGTTGTTGAGGAAATGCGTAGCAGAGCATACACTAATTCCACCATTTCTCCATTTATAATTCAATGACACTGGTTATCTTCTTTGCATTGTGTAATCAGTCTCACCCCCTTTCCCCTAGTTCTCTCCCTTAACATAAACTCACTGCTCCCTCAGTTTTCTTCCTAATTTTTGGAGCTGATGTTGTGAATCCCAGATCCTGAATCTCATATAAACAGATCCTGAAAGCGAACAATGCTCAGCAGAGACATTCTTTACTTGCTGAGCTAAACTACTGTCTTGTTTTAAGAATCCTTGGGGATATTTTTGGTTTAAGGTTTAAAGATTATCTCAGGAGACTAATATCAGGGGTTCGTCCTCTTTCCTCTTTTTTAAAATCAAATAAAAATTCACCTTTAATCAGTTTTCCCTGCATGACTTCATCCAACTTTGATATTACATGGTGTGTAGAGCCAACCCATACCTGATCCTCTTGTGGGTTTTTAGAGTCTGTGACCAGCATGGGAGGAGACAGCCCATCTTTCTCCAGTGAAGACACTGGTGGATTCAAACCGCCTGCCTTTGAGTTGGCAGTGCAACTCCTTACCATTGTTGTTCTTATATGCCTGCGACTCATAGCGACCCCATATACAGCAGCCCTAAGCCCTGCTCTATCCTGTGTCAATCTTACTGACACACCTACCCCCATTACCCCAGTCACTGAGTCAATCCATCTCGAGGCTCTTCCTCTCTTGCGCTGTCCCTCCACCTTTCCAAGAATGACATCTTTCTCCAAGGACTGGTCCCTCCTTATAAAATGTCCAAAGTAGGTCAGAGGAAGCTTCAGAATCCTTGCCTCCAAGAAACAGCCTGGTTTCACCCTCTCTAGGACGAACCTGTTTGTTTTCTTAGCAGTCCACAGTATATCAGACTACTAAATGTCCCTTAAGACTCCTTATGTACTTTTGGCTAGTCACCAAGGGGACTTTCATGATCTGGTAACCTAACTAGAGTGGTGGTCTAACTTGTCTCAGAAAGGGACTTGTCTGAGGTTCATGGCTAACTAATTGATGGCTGAGTTGGGACTGAAGTGCCTGGGTTCTGAGTCCTACTAGCCCTATGCTACTTACCCTCTATGTCTTGCTTATTTCACACGCCACCCCACTCCAGTACTTTCTAAAAAGGGGCTTCCCAGAGGCTTATGGATTCACTCAGACACCATATACTAGAATTTGCTGCCAATTAGTTTTGTGTCTTAAACCTTCCCATGGCGAGGATTGTCTCTTCAACTAGACTGATGTTTTCCACACTTCTTTTACTCCTTGCTGTTAAGTAAACCTGAGAAGCCTGCCTTATCAAAACAGGTAAAAGGAGAGTGAAATGATTTACATTAAAAGACTGTTATTTTTTATAGATTTACCACAAGTTTCCTTTGCTAGTACACGAACTGCTTGCATACAAATGACTACCAGGTAAAAGTGAAAACAGAGAAATATAACAATCAAAGATTATGGAATCTGACAAGTGCTGACCCATCTTAAATCAACAGGATTCTGGTCAAAAAAAAACAACAATGATCTACTCATAAGTTGTTTGAGGACAGTTTTCTGCACCTCTTCAGGGACACATCCATAAAAGACTTTCAAAAACTGTTAAATAAACAACACGATAGAGGGCAAAGAACATAGGGCTAGCAGAACTCACAGGACAGGCATTTCAATCCCAACCCGGCCATTAATTAATTAGCTGTGAACTTCTGACAAGTCCTTTTCTGAGACAAGTAAGACCACGGCCTGTGGTTAGGCTACTAGCTCAGGAAAGTCCCATGGCTCTCTGTGTGACGAAATAATTAAGAGTGGAAGTGGTGATTAGGGGTAGTGAGGCTGTATGGACCTTCCCTACAACGAATGTTCTAAAAAAATACCTCTGAAGTTATTGTTAAATGTTATTATTAAATGACTATGCTGTAAGGTCCCACGCTGGTAAGGGATCCCTGCCCTCGATGCAGAGGGTATGAATGAATGAGACCAGTGGTGATAGGGAGAGACGGGCTGAAGAGTGTCTTTCCACTAGATGCGGTGAGGAAAGCGAGACACACCGGGCAGCCTTACTTACTACCTTACCCTCCAGCAGTGAAATGCCTTTACGGATGTCATCATTGTATTTGCTTCGCACCAGACACCAGGCGTATTCAAACTGGGTGCTCTTGGATACTGAACCTGCTGCTTCCTCGGACTGAAATTTTTTTTCAAATTTCTGCCAGAGGAGAGGAGAATCATCATTTAGAAATGGGGGGAATGAGCCTTCACTGCCTGAACCCGAGTATTCACTTCTCAGCCACGATCCATCTCCCTCAGCCTCTGCCTGAATTCTCCCCGTGCGCCCTGGTTCCTGGTACCTGGGCTCTGCTCTCTCCATTCCTGGGACTCGGGCATTCAGCCTTTGGGCTGTCTTCTCTGGACACTTGTCCCTCCCTCCCCACCCCCCTGTGGTACTGGACGGAGATGCCACCTAGTGGCAGCTCCAGTCACCACTTCCTGGGCAGCTGATCCTGGCAATGAACAATAAACAAGCTGTCACAACTGCCCACAGCAGCCCACAGTCCCTCGCTGGAGACAGCTTTCTTTATCCTGCTCCCTCTCACAGCCCTGGGACTTTTTCCAACTGTATAGTGGAAATAAAAATAGTGGCTAACCAAAGCGAGCAAAAAAGACTGAGCTATTATCATATGCATCACACCTAACATAGTGCCACTCAGCAATATGTCAAGATTTATGGCGGTCGCCGTTTTCCTACAGCACTTGAAGGAGTATTCAACAGTTCTCTGCACCCGATGCTCCCAATTCCTGCATGAATCCAGACCCGGTCGGTTTTTTCCAACATGAGCCTACGGGTCCTTAGCCAGAAGTGTAGTGACTCAGGAAACCCCAACTCCCATCAGCCTCCGGGGCCACGCGGAATGTTTGGGTAAGGCCCGGCCGCCGCAAAGGCTACCGGGAGCTGTAGTTCGGCTTCGCCGGGCAAAGTTGATAGAGGAAAGAGGGTTTGGCCCTAAGCTACTCTCATCAGGACCCGCCTGTCCGACTCTTCCCTTTCCATCCCTCGGGGCCAGGCCTCACCAGCAGGTCGTCCACAGACACCAGCTCGTTCAGCACGGCCTCCATAGCCGCCGCCCCAGGAATTCTTACAACACAGACACTACAGCTCCACAGTCTCTCTCCATGGCCCACAAACAAGGGCGGAGACCCACTTCCGGCGTCCGGCGGAAGCTGGCCCTTCCCCTCCTCAGAACCAATCACCTCGGGTGGTTGGCGCTGGCCCCGCCCCGCGCCGGGCTGCTGAGGCCACGCCCCTCCTGCCCGGTGCCGCTGGCACCAGCGCAGGAAGCGGCCGTGTTAAAGCGCGAAAAGTGTGTGTGGATGTGCGGACATCGCAAAGTGCGACCCTCATCTTCCCATGTTCGTCCACTCCAGTGTCCTAATCTAAGGCTGCCTCAGGGGAGCGCAAGAGTCACGTCTTGTGCCTTGCTCTTGGGCTTGGATTAGAAGCACAACTCGATATGGACTACGGCCACCAGAGCACGCAGCTCTAGGGCTGGAAAACAGAAAAAAGAGGGCAGAAAGCCAACCAGGGATCACACCATTTTAGGAACTAGTCTTTTTCTCCCCACATGAGAAATCTAGGATCCTGACTGTGAATTTGCCTGCAACAAAATCAGAATAAACAGTATTAGGGGTTTTCTGGACCTCTATTGAGTCTTTGCATGCAAGGACTAGAGAACAGGGTTTGTTTACCATACATTCAGAGACTTTATATAGTCCAGTAAACATTCTTCTAGGTCATATAGCCCTGGTCTGTCCACTTGCTGTACAGAGAGGTAACTCGTGGTTACTGTGAAGCTGAACACTGTGACACTGATGTGTCAAACGTGAGAATGGTCACCCGTGGTGGACAGTGTTTGGTGGAGCTCCCCAATTAAAACAAGCTTGGGAGCAGGAGTGTCATCCACTTCCATAATAGCTTGTCTCTGGAAACCCTATGAACCTGGAGAAAGAACGAAAGTTATACAAGTGTCCAGGTCTTTCGTTCGTAGGGTCGCTAATGAGTCGCCTAGGACACTTAACAACACAATAGGGATTATTGGTGGTGGTGGGATTTATTTTGATCCGTTGAAAGATTATTACCGCCCACATAATTTTTTTAGGTTGTAATTTTTAGGAGAGCTCTGGTGGTTTAATGATAAGGAATTGAGTTTCCTATGCAAAGGTATACGGTTGGAATCCATCAGATACTCCTTGGGAGAAGGATGGGCAATCTACTCCTAGGCGATTAACTGCCTCTGAAAACCACTGGAGGGTTAATTACGGTTCGATTCCAGCTCTATGGCAAACAACAAAAAGAAGTCAAAGCTGGGAGCTCTGGTGTCCTGGTGGGTAAGCAGTAGTACTGCCAACCCAAAGTCCTACGGTTTGAATCCACTAGCCAGTTGTGAGGAAAAAACATCTCCTGTGTGATTTACCTTCTAGCTACATCTTGGATCCCACTCGATGGAACATAACAACAACAACAACGAACCAAATCACTAAACATCATTTGGCTTGAGCAGTTGAAATGACTAAAGAGTTTTGATATACAGGATACTTGACAGAATGAATTTATAATAGTTGTTGTGTTGGTGGTGGTGATTGTGTTCCTTAAAGTCAGAACCAACCCAGAGCTGACCCTCTGGTGGGTTTTCAGAGGCAGTTAATCGCTCAGGAGGATATTACCCATCTTTCTCCCACGGAGCAGCTGGTGGCCTCCAACTGCATGCTTTCAGGATTGCAGCACAGCTTCTTGTCAGTAGGCCACTAGAGCAATTTCAATTTTATAATTTAAAATTATATTTTAATACAATCATTAAACTTGGAGATAAACCTTGGATTGAGGAGCCGGCTCTCTTATGACTACTATCATAATAGTGAAGGAGCAAAAGCCATGGTCATTTAAATATGTATTGAGAGAAAAAAATGTATTGAGAAAAAGTATTGAACACCTAGTTGGGTTTGGGGGTAAGCACAGAGCGTAAAACACTGTACTGGAAGGAATACAAGCAAATGAAGGAGACATGCACAAACAAGAACAATATCATTAATACCACATGCAAACAAAATATTGCTGGAGATTACCCAAAAACTACTAGAAGAGTACATGACAGAGAACTGTCAGTTCAAGCTGGGTTTAGAAGAAGCTTTGGTACCAGGGACATCATTACTGATGTCAGATGGATCCTGGTTGAAAACAAAGATGATGTATAGCAAGTAATTGCGAAGACCATGGCCTGGATCAGGTGCACCTTAGTCTCTAGACTGACATCACTGCTTCTCACTATCATCATCTTAAGGATAAGTGTTAGAAATATACTCATCAAAGAAATTTAAAAACCTGCTTTCACTGAATCATATCATCATAGCCATCATATTATTTACTTGCAATCAGCAAGTGATTCTTTTACATTAGCAATAAAATATAATCTGTGCTGAAAATAAAGATCATTTGAAGTATGTACTCATGAAGATCAAAGACTATAACCTTCAGTTTGGATTATGCCTCAACATGAAGAAAACCTAACTCTTCTAGACTAATAAGCAATTGGATCAGTAAGCAACATCATGACAAATGGATAATCCATTGAAGTTGCTGAGGATTCTATTTTCATGGGCTCCATAATCAATGACCAGGAAGCAGCAGCCAAGAAATCGAATGATAGGTTGATTATAGATTATTAATCAAGAAAGTCACAAACCCAAAGGCTTCTTCTTTTTATACTTGTTTATTTACAAAATTCAAATGAAATGTTTTTCATACCAGATTCTTCCAATTTCCCTCACCCCTCCACCCATCAAATTGTACAATCCCATAATTAATTCTGGCCCCCCCCCACATCCTTCCCTCCCCCTGCCTTGAATCCTCATACTCATTCTATAATAATGGTTTTATACAATATTTGTCCTTGTTGGACTGAGTTAGTTCATGCAGCATAATGCTCTCCAGTCCCTCCCGAGCTAGGTAATAATTTACAGAATCATTGCTCCTGCATGTTGCATAGTATTCCATTCTCAATCTATTTGATTGTGGTTGGACATCTGGGATGTTTCCATGTTCTTGCTATGGTGAATAATGCTGCTATGAACATTGGTGTACAAGTCTCAGTTTGTGCCTCAGTTCTCATTTTCTCAGGTAATTTTCAAGTAGCGGAATAGCTGTTTCATATGGAATTTCTATGTTCAGCTTTTTGAGGAAGCATCAAACTGCCTTCCAGAATGGTTGTACCATTTTACAATCCCACCGACAATGTATAAGAGCTCCTATCTCATCACATGCTCTGCAACATTTATTACTTGCTTTCCTGTTAGACTTTGCCACTGTTACTGGAGTGAGATGATACCTTATTGTGGTTTTGTTTTGCATCTCTCTTATTGTCAGTAATTTAGAGCATTTCTGTTGGCCATTCAAATATCAAAGACTTCTTGAAAGTGCTAAAAAACAAAGATGTTGCCTTGAGAGCCTGTTCCAAGCCATAGTGTTTTCAATTGCCTCTGGAGGTACCAGTCCTTAGAGAAGGACATCATGCTTGGAAAGGTGGAGGGACCCCAGATGAGATGACTTGACATAGTAACTGAGGTAATGGGGGTAAGTGTGTTTGAGTCAGTGAGACTGGCTCAGGATAGGGCAGGCTTCAGAGCTGCTGTACATAGGATTGCTATGAGGCACAGGAGACTCAATGGCTCATAACACCACTACCACCATATGCATTTAGGTGGATTACTGAAGAAAACAACAATGAAAAACCAACAAGGATTTGCAAGCTGGGTAGTGTATTAGGAAGACTGAAGAAAGGTTGATGACTTTGAATTAGGGTGTTGGTGAAGAGTAACTTCACCATGCCACGGACTCACCCTGAATTTGGGCTTCCAGCCATCCACAGGGTAAGAGTCTGAGTTGCTGTTTGTGAAAGCCATCCACTTGTGGCCTCTGTTGATCAGCACTAGATAACTAAGACAGCATGTGATCCTGCGATGGCGCATGACTGGGCAGTGCTTTGCCCTGTTGCACATGATGAGGTCATCATGAATCAGAGGCTGACTCAACCGCTGCCAACTCCGTCACCACCACCACCAGTGTGGAGCATTTATACAGCAAAGAACAGATGAATAAAGAGGCATGATTCAAGAAGCTAGTTCTCTCGGTACTTTTGTACATTTTTAGCTCATATCCTTATGAGGCCTTCAAGTACCAAAATAGCTATTTTTAAAGGCAGGGGGGACAAAACCCCCCAACCCTCTAAAATCAACTGCAGCTATAAAATCAGTGGAATTTTCCTGAAAGTTTGCTACAGGGAAATTTACTAGAAGAAATAGAAAGCATTATGATTGAGTTTCCTCTGGCTAGCTTCTTTTAAAGAGACCTTGACTTTGCACATCATTTCCTCAATGTGCTCTGAACTTCCAAGAAGGTTAACGCAATTGCTAATGCTACGCTGGCTGTTGGTTTCTTAATTTGCCTTGGTCGCAGAATTCTTCTTAGAATGGCTGGAATGGCTTTGTGCCGTGTTTAGGTTTTACAGTACACTGAGGCCTGAAAGATAATCAGTCTTGAGTACTTTCATGTACTAGGGCTTGAAGCATTATTATCAAAGACCCTCACAATTTTTAATGTTTTTGCTTTTATGGCCTATTTATTAGAAACCGAATTTATTTGATGCTGAATTTCTGGACACGAGCAATTATGAGAGAAAAGGATAATGTTTTGACAAATGCTTCCAGGAAGCCACGGTGGCAGAAAAAGCACTTCTTATAATAAAGATACCGTTCAAACGTTCTTATTCCACTAATGGAACTTTGTGCACATCCTCCTGAGGTTACGGCCAACAGACTCTGTGATTATGTTAAAATTTTCCTGCAATCCCCCTTTCTAGCTGATCTAATTTCTTGGTCATTCAGTCAACCTAACACATTTAACATCTCTCAAGGACATTTTCAATCTTTGGAATATTGACTTTCACCAATTCCAATCAATTTGCCTCATTTTCACTATGGACATCTTTTAAAAAAAATGAGGGAATTAAACCCAGCCAGATATGAAAATAAGGTATAAAGTGAAGGTTTTGTTGTGTGCTATCGAGTCAGAACCAACTCATATCTGATCTCTGGCAGGTTTTCAGAAGTAGTTTAATCACACCAGAGGAGATTTCCATCTTTTTGCCACAGA